TCAGGCAGACCAAGGCACAAGCCCCCACACCAGGTGTGGCAGGGGGAGGGGGGGCAGAGATCTATATCATCAAGAGAAGTTCCAGGAGAGGGGAGGACCCAAAGGCCCCACCTGACATATACAGTCATACACAAACACAGTCACACGCTCCCTCCCTCATGCTCACACATGCACATACAACCCAAGACTTACAAAAATGCACGCCGGACACCCACTCATGCTCCCCATACACACCCTATTCACTCTGGTCCCGGTACTGCTGCACATGGGGTACAACCATCACCGGTAACCAGAGTTTGACCCTTTCTGCTGGGGTGCTCCCCCGCCCAACGCTGAGCACAGCAACCCACCACCCCAGACCCCAACCAGACGGCCAGATCTCCCTCCTAGCCTCCAGCCCCAGGAAGCCTAGCAACAACAGAGGTGGCTAAGACCCCTAGTCTCCCTCCGCCTGCTCCAATATAGTGTTGTGTGATCATGAGGTGTATTCCATGGCTGTGGTGAGTGGGCAGTGCGGGCATCATCCAGCATATGCCAGCTGATGCCACTGCACCACCCCACTTACACCCTCAGCCATCAGTGTCTAAGTGCGGTTTAAAATTGGAAGTGGGCACCGGCACTCGGGAGGAGGCAGAAATATCCCCCTGCCAAATGCCGTTGAATGTGCTCACACCCAAGGCCCTAAGTGTGTGTTTGTGTGTAATGTCGTCAGTGGAAGTGTATAAGGTGCAAATAAAATTGGGGGGCAGGTTGCCACAGGAATGCGGAAATGGGGTCCATACCCGCACTCCCTGACTTGCCCACCCCCCAAGGTCCTATGTGTATGTTTGTGTGATGATGTGAGGGAGCAGGAGGAGAGAAATATGCGGGGATGGGGAGGAATGGCTGGTTGGGCTTAGCCCTCCAGGGAGCCAGCTCCCCTACTGGCCCCAATAGGCACCTCTGTTGACAAACAGCCACCCAGGGCATGGAGACCCCAGCCCATCCTGCCAGGGCCCAAAGCAGCAGCATTACAGAGCCTCACGGAGTCCGAGGGCACCAACCCAGCCCCACCCCAGCAGAATATCTATGCCCATCCCTGCATTTGCACAACTTCCAGAATATATAAGACATGGGACATCCAGGTAAGGTTGGGTCCTCCCCCTCCTGGACCTCCCCCTCCCCTGTGATGGAACGGCAGAGGAGCCAAGGTCTACCTGAGGCCCCCGAACCCGGGCCAGGCACTGCTGGGTGTCCCTGCCTTCTTCCCGGCAGCATACATGTCAGGACCCGACCCCCAAGGCCCCGCCCAGATCCCCACACGGGGCCGGCCACCCCCAAACCCCGAGCCCCCAGGCCCCCACCCAGACCTGCCCAGGGGCATTGCAGCCGCCAGGCAGTGACCCATGGCCGCCGCCAAGGTCCCCAAGGGGCCCCACTCACAACCGCCAGCAGTCCACCCCCCGAGGCAACCCAAGCACCTCCAGAGGGGGGCAACGGCCCCCCAGTCCCAGACACCCCCAGTGAACCCACCTCCAGGGAACATCCGGTTACTCCAAACTCAGACCCCCCCCACACCATCCCGCAGGACAACATCAACGGCCCCCCACCCTCGCTATGTGATGGAACCGATCAAAGGAGCCCAGAGAGATTCATCTGAAGTGGAAGCAGAGGCTATATCAAGTGCAATGTGATCTAACAAAAGATTTCTATACTGGTTAATGCAGAGACTTTCTCTATTTTTCCAATTCATTACATACCCATTTACTAAGGATAGATTGATTATATCTAGAATGGGGGCAGTAACCAAAGGAAATGCATCTTTAAATAATTTGGTTGGGATTGGATCCAAAATGCAAGTTGAAGGTTTAGATGAAGCTAATATTTTTGATAACTCTGAAAGCTCAACTGGATCAAAACGGTTCAAGCACAGATGAGGTTCTACAGTCACCTCTGAAGCTACCTCACTTACTGAGGAAGAAGAAATCGCATTAGGGACAGGGTATCCGCGGGTCCTTAAAAAAGGTCTTAAAAAGTCTTAAATTTGGCTCCCTCAAGCCTGCAGATACCCTGTAGGGAGGATGCTAAAGATTTTGTTTCTAATAGAATTAATTTTACTTGTAAAAAATCCCATGAAGTCATTGCTGCTGAGGGCTAAGGGAATAGATGGCTCAGAGCTATGATTCTGTGTAAGTTTAGCAACTGTACTGAAAAGACTCATTTATAGAATCATTTTAAATGTTAATAGGGGAAGACTGCAGGAGGGAGCGGTAAAATACAGGGGGTCCCCAGCAAAAACAAGAAACTTTACGAGTGATGAAACCCACCGGTTTTCCATCAGGCAGTCACGGGGCAGCTCCAACGACCCAGTGGCTGTGTTGGGTCAATGTTATCGAGCTCAGTCCGGCTCGGCCGTGAACGAGCCGAGGCGACGTCGTGCTCTGCTTAAGAAGAGGCGTTATTTTCCCGCTTCAGAAGAAGCGTCCAACGTGTTTTTACGCTTTCTCAGAGACATGTCACGTCGCTAAGTTGTTAGCGCCGTGCGCTAACACGTCAATAGTACAGCGTAGCTACTGGAGGTTTTAAGGGTTCAGATGAAAACACCCGACCTCTCACGCTGCTCACACATCGATCTTAAGTTGTCGCTGTTGCGCTCACGCCGTAATACAGTATTAGATGCGGTTAAAGTCAGACATGAAAAAATGAATAAATTTTACATGAATAAGTGATGCTTAGCCTGGTGGGGGGAGGAAACCCTGTCAAGATCGTCAACACTCGTTTATCTTAATGCTATTGAAACATGTAAACCACAAAGCATTATATCCACTGCTACCTTTCTAATTTTAAACTCAGTAACTTATGCTGTAACTTCACCTTGCCCTGCTTGCTCCTCCTTGCTGCCTGCCGGCTGTGATCACAAGCGACAACATAGTAGTTCCCGCTGCTTCTTCGGGAAACGGCGCAAAAAAGAACAACTTGGGATCTTGTAGGCATGGCGGTGGGACTGTAGCCGTGGCGGCCCGCCAGGGCTACGCCTATGTAAGAGAAACCCTGAAGACAGTGGGAGGGTTAAACAAAAAGGAAATAAAACTTACAGAATTACAGTTAAATTGCATTTTTAACAGATATTTAAAGAGCAAGTCACCCCAAATCAACTTCTTTTGGCTGATAAACTATATAAATGAGTGTCTGATCCTGCTGTAGACACTTTTAGTCAATAATTTGGCACTTTAGTGTAGGTACCCTATGACGCCCATTGGTACCATATGGACCATATGTTGTGTGTGTGTGTGTGTGTGTGTGTGTGTGTGTGTGTGTGTGTGTGTGTGTGTGTGTGTGTGTGTGTGTGCATTTGTTAGCAGCTCCACTCTCAGTCTGCCAGGCAACAGCATTTGTTGCATTTTTTCAAACAGGAAGTGGGAGTGGAGTAAGACTCTGGTTGGGGGTGACTTGCTCTTTAAAACATCAACATCTGATGTGGAATTTCAAAAATAACAGCCCTTAGAAAGTGGTTATAAATCATTTATTCCTCTACTTTGGAAAAAAATGTAATCCCCTGTTATGCCAGCATCTGGTGTGGACAGATGAGTACTAGAACACCTCTACAAAAAAAAAAAAAAAAATATATATATATATATGTTTCATCCAAATCTTATGTGGAATTTCAAAATAAAACCTCTTTGAAAGTGGTCATGAATCATTCATTCCTCTACTAAAATTTAAAAACAATCCCCTTGTTATGTGAGCATCTGGTGTGGACAGATGAGTACTAGAACTGGGGATGTCCCAATACATTTTCAGGGTTTTTCCTGCGTTCAAATTTGTGTGGTGGCTGCCTCCAGCTAATTTTGTGCCACCCCAGCCTGATTTCACTCTGCCCCCAGCTATATGGATGTTATTTTAACTGCAGTTGCAGCATTGCGCTACTACAGGGTTGCTGTATCCGCAGCGATGCACCAAAAAGCGCTAAAACCGCTCAGAACTCGGCACCTTCTCGCCCCTCTGCATTTTGAAGCTCTTTTGCACGGGGCTGGGCTGGAGACAATTGTCCCACAGCTAAAACCTGCTGGCTCTCCATGAGTACGTTTACATGCAGCCAATATCCGGGTTATGTTCGGGTTAAGGTCGGTATTCGGGTTTCTGAGTTGATCAGAATAACCCGTTTACAAGCATAAATAGAAAGAGTTACCTCTAACTTGCATAACCCGATGTAAATGTGGACGTTGGTGTAGCGTCAGGACGTGTGGACTACGTCCAGACGCATTATGCGTCATTTCAGGTTCTTCTTGTTCTGGTATCCGTGAAAACAACAACATGTTTCCCAGTTCGGAAGAGATAGCGACCGCGCTTGTTTGCGCTTTAGTTTCCTCGTCACTCCAAAAGTGTGGTGCTGTGCCGCGACTCGCCATTTTGCTCCCAACTTGTTGTTTACTTCCGGTGTTCTGGCGCATACAAGACGTCTCGCTACTCAAAAGACCAAGATTCCTTGCGAACAGAGCATGCGCAGAACACACGCTTTGATGGGGATATCCCGGTATGCGTTTACACGACCAAACCGGGTTAGAAAAGGGTTACCCCAGGTGTAGTAACCGGGTTTTTAAAAACCCGGATATGCTCATAACCGGGTTTTTAAAAACCCGGTTATGAGCATATCCGGGTCTGGCGGTGTTCACATGGACCTGCGGAACCGGGTTATTGTGAATATTCGGGTTTTAAAAGGGTTACTGGCTGCATGTAAACACACTGCATGTGATGTTTTGCCAGCTTGGTTTTTTAAGATGAGCTAATCTTTTTTTTTTCTCTTGCCCCCCCCGTTTTAACCATAATCAATGGTAGTTTAACTTCAGGCACATTACCGGGGGGTTTAAACATGCGGTTGTATGGCCACAGTTAAAGAAACCAGGGAGTGACCCTGAAATCAGTTCCAACTATAGGCCACATTCAAAATGAGCCCTTTTGTGCTAAAGTACTCGAGTGGGTTGTGTATTTGCAGCTTCAGTCTTTCCTCTTTCTGTCTGCAGACCTTTCTGGAACAAACCAAGACCAAGTTCAGCAAGAACTACAAGGGGATGAGTCTGTCAAAGATCACAACAACAGTCGGCCTGAACAGTGAGTTCTTGTTTCAGTGCAACATTACATAGTGCAAAGGTCATTTACAATCAGTCACTCATGGGTAACTCCTGCAATTTCATTACACAAGCACGACTTATTAGCATAATATGAATACATAGGGTCTTGTAGTGACTGTCCAGTCCTCCCCTTAGTCACACTTGGGTGCAGATTGAGGCAATGACTCACTTCTACACTATTGTCCAGAAGAAAGGTGCACTTGGATTTGTATTCCCAGTTATTGAAGATGCCAATGATAAGTAAAGTGCACAGTTCAGCATGGCGTTTTCTTATTGAGAGTTTATGCAAATGGTAAAAACCTTATGACCTCTGGTCACCCAAAGAAATCAAGTGCACTACCTGGTTTTACACTTATAGAGACTCGACAGTGGGTTAGGGTTAGGAAACAAACGTAAGACAAATTATAATCTAACCCAGAACCACACTGGCTCTTACAGGTCTGATTTGGAAAAAACACCAGGGGGCTGATTTATAAAGTGGCTTAAACAGGGTCTGAAAACTGCATAAGTGACTTTCCTTGCAATTGTGATTCCTAATGAAAAAATCAACGGACAAATTTGGTAATTTTAAGCTAACTTTGGACCTGGTGTAAGTATATTTTGAATGGAAGCTGCAGTGCAGGCGGTGAGATGATATGTTTAACTTGTGAAGCATTTCCAGACTTGGAGACCCTCACACAAAACCAACAATCAGCTGTCCCATCTGTGAACTGAGAATTAAAATGATATCTGTAATCACATATGTTTATAACAGGTTATCTGCTGGGTCTTGAGAAGTCCTCAAAGTCTTATTTGATTTAAGGAAATAGAAAACCCTTAAAAATCTTAAAGTCTTAAATCAATATAGTAAAGTCTTAGTTGGGTTAGTATTGACATGAATTTAAAAATATGTTTGTCTCATACTTGATGATTTTTGTCGAAAATAGCCATTTATAAAGCCGAATATGACGTTCGCGTGAATCGAAGAGTTTTTGTTTTTCGAAAGGTGAGTCTGGTCAGGTTTCAGTCGCTCTTTTTAAGAATTAATGTCAGAAAAGGGAGAAATGTTCATTTTGATCACAAGCCAATCACAAATCTATGCTGTTAGGTCACGAGTCATTCACTAATCGCAGTCACAAAGACAGCTTGGCCAAAAACCCAGACTGCAGTAGCTGGTATTACAGAGCTACTGTTGGAACTTAAACTTCCTCAAATCAAACAAAATCCCCTCTAAATACCAGTTTTCTGTCCAGAACTCTAGCAGGTTTGTCCCCTTTCACCTTCAGTTCTGACCTCGCCTGCAGCTTCCACCAACCTGGTTGTTGCTCCTCACCACTCATGATCAGACCCTCTGGAAACACGAATGCAACGGCAGCGGTGTGACCTGTAACTGTTTAGGTACTGATCCACAGTTCTTAATTTATGCTGATATTTTATCATTAATTAATCTTAATTTCTTGTTCTGTCTTCAAGTAAAGATTCTAATCCCAGTTTGAGCTCAGATGATGGATTACTGAAATTAAACAGATGCAGATGAACAGTCCTGCAGTAAATACCAACCCCATAAAGGTTCTTTTGTTCAGACATCCTGATCCAGCTCTGGTTGTCCTGGAGGACACATCATGTTACCATGGTGATTCTGAGTGTGTAACATGCTTCAGCAGGTTATTGAAGTCAGCATCATGTGGTTTAGCTGACGAACGTGAAATAATTACTCATGTTCATGATCACATTTAACTTTACTGATGATGATTTATGCTGCTGTCTGTTAAAGGACCTACATCTCTAAACTAGCAGCAGCCGTCTCAGAATAAAACAGCTTTTCTCTAGTTGAGATGGGTCAGTAACTGGAGTTGGAACGAGTTACAGAGCTGCAGGGACACAGGAAGCTTAAAACGTGTCTTCTGAAAATTCATTGGTCCTCTACCACTCTGATCTTTACAAATGGACATTATTGTGTCTTAATAGAATTTTTTTAACTAAAAAATATCGGAATAATTTGCACAACTCTAAAAATAAATATTTAAAACTGTGCTGGATACGTTAAAAAGCTGAATCTGACAGAAATGGGCCCATTTAACCCACTAAAACAGGCAGCTAACAATAAGCTAACTGCAGTTAAAACTACGACCAGCCAGTTAATACGATTATTTAAATAAAACTGGTGACAAGAAAAAAATCACTATTTACTAATTATTGTTCGAGGCATTAAGCTAACGCATTGCAATGTCAAAATGTTGTAATTTCATGAATTTACTGGAGGAAAAAAGCTCTGAAACACCAAGAAGGAACAGCGTTCAGTGGTGGAACTGTTGGTTTGGAACTATCCGAAGCCCCATGGCCGACGTTACTTCCACATTATATTTTTTCTATTGAAGTCGATGGGTGTGTACGAACTCTATCTCAAAGGATCGGCGGTGTTCCATCAGATCGCTACACCTGCCAGCTCCCCTCATTGAACGTAATCTTCACTGCCATCCAATACATCCATGCATGCAGTGTTTGATGCCTCTGCTAAATTGACCTAGCCCAGTGAACTAGACCAAATTCTTGCTTTGCAAAGTTTGGTCTAGGAACGATCCATTGGAACCTCTGCAGCCCCTAGCAGCGTTCTGGCTGGCCAATCACAGCTCTCTATAGGGGGTTTAAAACATATAGACAGCTGTGATAGGTCCCTTATGGTGGGCCAGTCATAGCGCTTAATCTGCTTTGTGAGCCAATCACAGCGCCTTATCCACTTTGTGGGCTAATCAGGGCCCTCTTTTCTTCTGGTGGGCGGGATGATGCAACAGAGTGGAACATGATGACGACAGCTCGTTTGAAACGGCTTTTACATCCATTTTTGGTGATTTGGACTTGGGCTTTATTAGATTCAAGAGCAGATAGATGTATTTAAGTTATTTTTTTAGAAAAAAGGATGTATTTTCACCTTCTTCAACAGCGGACCACCTCGTTTACCAACATCCGTTGCGGTGAGTACGTCACGTTGTTCTTTGTCCAGTAGCATGCGGCGATCGTTTGAAAGGCAACGGTAGAACCCGCTCCACGATCCCAGACTAAATAATACATTTATTTAGTCTGGCTTGCCAGGCTAGAATTGACCACCATCATCTTAAAATTTGCATCAAAACTCTGCCTTAGCAGCTTATTAACTTACCCCACTTTCGGTCCACTCTGCTCCGGACCTCTCGTCTCCATTTTGTCTCCTGTTGAGAACACACAGCCTGACCCCCTCTGCTGTTACGGGCGTGTCATGACCCCAATATCAGCATGTGTGAACGCTTAGACCCCGATTATAAGACGACCCCACATTTAAACATTTTTCCGGTAAAAAATCATCCTATATTTGGGTCAATATGGTAATAGATATTTAAACTTTGGCTACATATGTAGAAAATATCAGGTCTTTTCAAGTAAACAGGTTCTAGTCAAGTCAAAGTTCGAGTCACTGGTGTACAAGTCCAATTCAGGTGTAAGTGTTTGAATGTTTTTTCAAGTCAAGTCTAAGGTCATCAAATGAATGACTCAAGTCATGTGACTCAAGTCTACACCTCTGAGTAGGGTCACCCATGGCAAATAGGTCCCAGGTGAAGGATCAGACAGAGAGCAGCCCAAAGACCCCTTATGAAGAAAAAATACATGGAAGCAGTGTCCCCTCGCCTGGACATGGGTCACCAGGGCTCCCCTTCGGAGCCAGGCCTGGAGGTGTGGCACGTTGGCAAGCACCTGGTGGCCGGGCTTTCAACCATGAAGCCCAGCCGAGCACAGCCTTAAGAGGAAAGGTGGGTCCCCCTTTCCATGGGCTCAACACTCGTGGGAGAGGTCAAAGGGGTCAGGTGTAGTGTGTGACCGGTGGTAGCTGAGAGCGGGGACCTCTGCAGTCTGAGCCACGCCCACAGAAGCTGGCTCTTGGCACGTGGAACGTCACCTCTCTGGTGGGGAAGCAGCCTGAGTTGGTGTGCAAAGCTGAGAGATTCCGACTAGATATAGTCGTACTCACCTCAGTGCATAGAGTTCTGATTCCGGAACCAGTTGCCTTGAGAGGGGTTGGACACTCGGCCCCTCTGGAGTTCCGCCTACATTTGGGTGGATGGGTCCTGATTGTGGTTTGTGCTTATGCACCAAACTGTAGTTCAGACTACCCACACTTTTTGGAGACCTTGGAGGAAGTGCTGGAGAGTGTTCCTTCCAGTAACTCCCTTGTTCTGCTGGGCAAATTTAAAGGCCCTATGTGTGAAAACAAATACAATACAAAATCTCGTAGATGGAAAAGGCAGTATGCCATCATCTGTTTCCATCTTTCAAGCCAGCGACCAGGTTAATTATTTTAATCTATATTATTTTGTAAATTTTTATGTAAATATGTTTTGAAAAAGAAAAACAATTTTTTGTCAGTTATGTTGATGTCAATTACCGTAAATCCTCTAATACAGGCCCGGGCCTCTATTTGACTCAAGCTCATCAAGCTCCGGGCCTTTATTGGAAGGAGGGCCAGTATTAGAGGCAGGCCTCTATTTCCATTTGAGCAAAATGAACTAATGGTTCGCTGGAGTTTTTGACAATTAAAATTGCGCCCACATTTTCAAAGTTAAACACATTTCTTTTAACAACGGTACTTTCTGCTTCAGCCCTCTCCCCCCTCCCCCTGCTTCAGCCCTCTCCCCCCTCCCCCTGCGCAGCGGCCGCAAACTCACTGATGCGCCTGCAGCCTCTCGGAGTTCCTGCTGCTCTAAACATTGAAATAATTATTTCATTTTCTGTTCCTCACTTCTGATGACCTTCAATGGTGGCTGTTTGTTGCAACAGCAGGTACAAAAACTAACTTGACTATTTTTCTGTCCTGTCTGTTTATTATCTTCCTGCATCTCCTCTCAATCCTAAAGAAAAACTGCTACCTGGGTTCATATATATTCACCTCATGAGTTACCTTTGAACTGCAGTTCTAAAAGATCTACCGACCGCAAAAACAGCGGAGTGCTCGCTGTTTGTCGGCTGTATCAGTGATCAGTGCGTCGGAGGACAAGGTGATGCGCCCCGCTCCACAGCATGCAGCGAACGCATCAGGCGCAAATAAAAGACAGAAAACATTAAAGGAAATGAGCTGACATGAACGATCGCGTGTTAAATTAGTTTTTGAGGTGGCGACACCTGATTGTTACTGTGGCTGTGCTCAGGAGGCAGATCTACCGACCGCGAAAACAGCGGAGCGCTCCCTGCTTGCCGGCCGCATCAGTGATCTGTGCGTCGGAGGACAAGTTGATGCGCCCCGCCCCACAGCAGCGATACACATCAGGCGCAAATAAAACACAGAAAACATTAAAGGAAATGAACCGACATGAACGATCGCGTGTCAGTACCTACGGTCTGGCACAGCGCGTTGCCCCCCCCCCCCCCCCCCCTGGCTGGGGTTGTAAGCCAGGTGCATTCTGGGTATTGTGTTATATGTGTTTCCTATCGTTCTGCTAGTTCCTATGTGCTGATTTGCGTGTTGTGTGAGTGTTATGTAAGCCACAGGGAAGGTGATGTGTGTTCTGTGGAGCGGGTTGAATTAGCATGGTTAACTGACACCGTGACTCTGTGTGGTAGGAGCGTGATAGAGGATCGTGTCTGTAGCGTTACACAGCGTTGAAGAAAAAGCCTAATAAAGGTCTGCGTGAACATCTACTGCCTCCTGCTGGTTGATTTGGGGACTATAACCCTGCCGCTGGGACGCTCATACTTGCTTGTTAATACATTCCACCCGGCCACAATAGGAGACCGGCCATTATTTACCTCAACTGACTCTGACACCGGCCACAATTGGAGACCCGGCCTTTAATTGAATACCGGCCTGTATTAGAGGATTTATGGTATGTTTGCAAATAGCAAGCAGCTAGTAGATAATGACTTCTGACTACTATGTAATGTTACAAAAAAATCTATATTTTTGTTCATTTTATTTAATACATTTGAGACTTTTTTTTTTAATTTGCCATTTTGGAAACATAAAAGGTAGTGTAGTCATTAACTGTTTTCCCTCTGTAAACTGACACAGATACCATCCGATGATTCAACATGGATTATAACTGCCTGGACTTAAACATCTCCAAGAACAAAGAAATGGTCATTCACTTCCACCGTGGCCCTTCTCCATCCATCCCTGCACTCACTGTTAACAGCCAAATTGTTGAAAAAGTTCAGTCATACAAATATCTCGGTTGCATAATAGACAACAAACTCACATTCCAACACAATACTGAACACATTTTTGCAAATATCAACAGCGCCTCTATTTTCTTTGTAAACTCCGCAAACTTCAGGTCCACCAAACCATCCTTGCTGCGTTCTATTGACCATTTGCACCGACGTCACCTAACCACGTGGGTCCACCATGGTGGACGGCAAAAGCATGTAAACAGTGAGCGACACGATTACTAAACAAAGGGAAAAGTAGAGCCTGAAATTGTTTTTGCGATCAAAACAAAAACAAAGCTCCTCCAGCATTACTTCAACTAGTCCATGCCCAGTTCAGTTATCAGAAGAAGTAGCGCGTCTAGCGGGGGCTCATAGAGAGCGGTATGCTAACTAGCTTACCAGCGTTAGCTTACGTTCTCTCTGCAGCTGTTCACCGACGTAAACATGTTGCTGACTTTGCCTAAATTCACCCCTCTGGATTTATAACTTCATGTTGTAAACAGCGTTTCACTTTACACCAAAGCTGGTTTTTAAAAAGTCCGGATCCCTACCAGCTTCTGTTGCTGGTGGTGCTACCGGGTTCAGCTGCTGCTCTCACACCGGAATGAGAAGATCTCTGAACGCCGACGCTCATATAAATAAATAAATAACGTCATTTAACACATGTAATCATACATCGGAGCTTTAATATTGTTAATAATTGTCTCGCTTTACACTACAGTGGACGGAGCGCAGCCTCCGTGGTGAAATACCATCCATCAGGATTATCAGTAACTAGTATAAACACACATCACATTTATTCCTGTCCCTGTCTTCCTCGTGAAATAAATGAATGTTAATCTTACCCGGTAAAAACATGTTCACTGCTAGTCTGAGGCCTGTTAGTCCACTTGATTGATAGATCGCTGCAGTTCATCTTCGTCCTCAGTCTCCATCAAAGTTATTAAAAATAAAAAAAGAGTTGAGTTTACATCCTTGTCTGTTAGTGCAGCCGACCACGCAGCAAGCTAAAACCATTTTACTGTCAAATCAACTAAATAAAAGCCATAAAAGGCTACAAACTGGCTTGTTTTGGCTAGCTTCACTGGAGTTTCTATGGGTGTAAATGGTCTTTTTTCCGTCCATCATGGCGAAGGGGGCGGCCACATGAGTGATGTGACGTCACATGCAAAGGGTCAGTAGATGCTTTATCGAACCAATTCTTGCATTCAACATTTCTGCGTGGTTTGGATCACTCACAATTGCTCAGCGTAACATGCTCAATAAAATAATAGGATAAGCAGTAAAATCATCACATACAACACTTCAGTTCTCAGAAAAGGCACACAGATCTCCACAGACCCATCACATGCTCTCCACTCCCATTACACTCGGCTACCATCAGGTCGGCGGTTCAGGGCCCTTCCAGTGAAGACAAAAGGGCTTCCTCCATCTTCCTTCCTGTTAAATAGCATGCCCCAGCAAAAATGACTTTGACCAGCACTATAGTAAATCCAGATTGAACTGGAAATCTTTTATTATCGTATTCCTTTTTAAATTCCTTTAATTAAGTGTATGTAGATGTGAGTAGTCTTTTAAACTGATTGTATGTGTGTTTTGATGCTGTTTGTAAGTGCTGTGCTGACAGTCTGACTGCGAACGAAGTTCCTAACGGATAAAGTGAATTTGAATTGAACAAAATCACAGAACCCAGAGATTGGTGACAGGAAGAAACAGGTTTTTAGAGGAGTTAGAGCACAAAAGTAGGAGCTGAAGTAAACACGTCTGCAGGCTTATCTAAGAGTGTACGTGACAGACATAGTCGAATCTCATGTTATTTAGTCCAACCTGAGTGTGGTTCAGGGCATAAAGCTAAGCGGATTAGAAAATAGTATTCATAGCTCCGTTCACTTGCATTCATTTTTTTCCTGACTGACATGACTGTGGGAGCCTGGGCTCAAACCTGGGTGGAGCCCCAGCAGAGACCTTAGTCCTCATGATTCTGATGCCTTACTGGAGAAAACCTCCTAGTTACAAATGCCTTTTATTTATTTTTTGTTAGATTTTCCAGTCTGGGATTACATATTTACTTCCTTCTTGCAACACAGCAGATGTTTGAAATTCTTTTGTCTTGGATCCTCAGTTAGAGATCTTCCACTTTTCTTCACAGTTGGCACGATTGATGTGGGGAAAGCCCGGCTGATGTTCTGGGATCTTGGAGGCCAAGATGAACTCCAGTCTTTGTGGGATAAAGTAAGTTGCAAAAGGTGCTTTAACAACTTCATGAGCTAACATGAAAGATCCTCCCAAATGGAAAGTGTTGCAGTGATTTATGGTTCAGCTGGTTACAAGTCATTGATGACTTGGTCAACATCATTTATTTCTTTGTTGTGCACCTTTTTACCACCAGTCAAGGTGGTCCAAAGTGCTGTACACTCAAGCCAAAATAAATAAAAACATATTAAAAGAAGATTAAGACCGATAAAACCATAAAATAATTAAATAACAAAAATAAAACAAAAGGACACTCCGTTACAATGTTGTCCCATAATAACAATAAGAATCCAAAGCTAAAAATAGCCTGAATCAACCTGATGAAAGAATGTGAAAAGACAACCTATATTTAAAACTCTGCACCGAAGTGGACTGCCTAATGTTGGGTGGAAGTTGATTCCAGAGTTTAGGCACAAACACAGAAAATGCTGGGTCCCTGCGGGATTCCCTTCTTGTTCTCGAAACCACCAATAGGTCATGTTCAGAAGACCGTAGGTTTCTGGCTAGAGTGTATTTAGACACCAGCGATGAAATGTAACCAAGTGCCGTACCTGACAGAAACTTAAAGGGATATTCCATCGGTAAGGGAAATTTTGTCTATTTCCTTATTAGATTAGTGAGAAAAAATCATTTTATAATTCTCCTGGTATGGTAGCAGGATATTTCATGGTATTCTTACAGATGTGGAACGAAGAAGAGCCTGGCTTGATGCCTTGGGAATTCCCACAACACCCGTTGAGGAAATTAAGAAATATGTGGTTTGTGAGGAACGTTTCACAAAAGAGTACTACTGTGAGAAAAAGCAGCATTTGACCCTGACAGTGCTGCGGCTGAAAAAGATGGCTGTGCCATCCATATTTTGTGAAGAACCAACAAGAAGTGCTTAAGTACTGTATGTAAGTGGTCTTTTATGTAATGTCATTTATCGAATGTTGCTGGCCTATTATAAATTACTATAAGTGTAATGTGTGGCAGACATATTTTCCTCCCAGTTTATTATTCAACAGTTAAACAACTCTCAGCTGCTCTTGATGAACATAACATCTATGATTGCTTCCAGTCAGGTTTTCGTAGAGCTCATTCTACTGAAACAGCTCTTCTTAGGGTCTCTAATGACCTTCTGACCCACAGTGATGCAGGGGACTGTTCTGTTCTGGTCCTGCTGGACCTGACTGCAGCCTTTGACTCTGTTACAGTCCTCCACCACCTCCCTTACCCATGGTGTCCCACAAGGTTCTGTGCTGGGGCCTCTGCTCTTCCTCCTCTATCTGCTTCCTCTTCAGCACACCCTGAGATGCTTCAAAGGAATCTCCTACCATCTTTATGCAGATGACATCCAACTGTACATCTCCTTTAAGCCCCATGAGATGTCTAAGCTGCAGCTGTTACACACCTGCTTAGACTCTATCAAAGCCTGGATGGTGGGAGCTTTCTTCAGCTGATGGATGGAAGAGCCGCGGGTTGCCAATCCCTGCTCTAGTTCAAGATATCATTAAAATTCCAAAAGTGCGCAGAAGATTAAAAATGGGGCTTTCCGTGCACATACAATACATTACGGTATCCACCGGGATTCCCTGTCTTGAGCGCAACGAATCACAACACAGATTCAGAGATGTGCCGAGTTTGTCATCCAAAATGCTCCGTTTTATAACTTTTGATTTTTGGAAATCCTGCTGTACAGCCTGATTGAAACGGAGCGCAGCGCTGCGGTGAAAGCAGATAACCTATAAAATGACATGTTGAGGACGCAAACTCAATAAATCTCTTTTATTGTGAGGTAATAATTTCTCCGAGTTTTGCGGTTGCGGGCGGGAGTAGACATGCACGCTGCAGGTGCGGGCGGGAGTGTAACACACACGTTGCGGTTGCAGGCGGTAATGGCCAGAAATTCAGCGGGAGCGGGCAGGAGCGGGATGAAGAAAACAGTCCCGCGCAGGGCTCTACTGCTGCGTTTTAAGTGTTTCAATTTTTTTAATGAATTCAATTAAAAATAAAGGCGCCCGGCCGTGTCCGAGGTAATTGCACAGTCGTTGGCCCGAAGCCTGGCCCGAGGGCCGTCGGGCCAGGCCGACCCGAGGGCCTAGGGCTTCAGTGATCAAGACACTTTCCTCTGTTGCACCAAGGAATAATCTGCATTCACAAGTCCGGTGTTGTGGTAATAACACTACCAAGCATGGCGACATGAGTGCCACCCAATTCCTGCAAGGCTATACCACCAGGGCGTGTTCAGATGACACAGAGTGGCGGCAGTATTACGCTGGCATTGTGTGTCTTCTAATATGGGCCATAGACAGGTGTGGCTTTCCTGATCAAGTCCAGTCAGTATAATGAAACACAGCTGGGCTCCAATGAAGGTGTGGGGCCACCTCAAGGATGATCAGAAAAATGGAAAGGAACCGAGTTAAAAATGGGTCACAACAAAGGGTCTGAATACTTAGGACCATGTGATATTTCTGTTTGTCTTTTTTAATAACTGCAGAAACGTCTAAAACTGTTTTTCTGTCAATACGGGGTGCTGTGTACATTGAGGAAAATAATGAATTTTAGCAAATGGCTGCAATCTAACAAAAAAGTGAAAAATTGATTGGGTCTGAATACTTTCTGTATCCACTGTTTTGATTAAATGGGTGAACCACTTCTTTAAACAGAGATAAGACGAGAAGTTTTGTCTTTTGTTCCTGTTATACCTCCTGGGGTTAATGTCCGCCTATTAGACCTGAGTATGAATATGTGATAACCAACACTGTGATTTTGGATTTGAGTTTTTGTCATGTTTAGGTGTGTGACCGTTTTCATTCTGTTTTGTAACCATGATATATTTTCTTATGGCAAAAGGTGATTTTATGTGTCCTCTTTATATTAAGTACTATGCTGAGTCCCATGGAGTCATCTATGTGATCGATTCTACTGATGAAGAGCGTCTTTCAGAGTCAAAGAAGGCTTTTGGTGGGTTTGGTTTGTCTTTTTGATGAAAAGATAATGTTCAAAAAGTGCTGACTGCTTGCCGATTTTCCTTCCAGAGAAAATGATCAGCAGCGAGGCGTTAGAAGGTGTTCCTCTCCTTGTTCTCGCCAACAAGCAAGATGTACTGGTACGTCTTGTTTCATCCCTTTGTTAGTAGCTGTCTATTCATCCCAAGCCCCCACAATGTGGGTCTGAAATTGAGGCCAATGCGGAAGTGAACTAAATTGCAGTTCCACCCTCATCCACTAGGGGCTGGTGTCAGAAGTGAGCAAATCCTCATTGACTCCCATGTTAAAAAGACCAATTTCACAGCAGAAATAAACATGTTTACAGCCTGGTACCAAAACATGTTTTAGGTTTAAATTATCTAGTTTACACTCATGACAACTCTGAGGGGGTGAATTTTTTTGTCACTCTTCTGTTTAAGTGTATTAAATGCCTAAAATTCTGTATAATTAATGAGCATCAGACCCACGTGACCACAGCATCAGACCCACGTGACCACAGAGCTAGCTCCGTGGAAAGGCCTCAGTAGCCTCAGTCTGAGCCTCGATCTCGCCTGAAAACTGTTCCGCGATTTTTAGTCTCTGAACTTAGACCAGTAGTTGTAGCGTTTGTGCGTTCTTTTTGGATATTATTTGTGCAGTTGTTGGACAAAATGACTTGCTGTGGCATTAATTGCGCTAATAGCGTCCAAGGAGTCTCCACTTCATTTTTTCGGTAAGTAAAATTATATTTATGTATTTTAGGTCACTGCCGCTTTTGCGCTAGCTGAGCTTATCAAAGTAGCTAGCTAACTACCAGTCTAACATGTACTGTTTAACCATGAAATTTAGATGTAATACGGTAAAATAATTAACAGGGTATATGTCGATGGGTGTAAAACCCAGTGCATTTAACATAAAAATGGGTTGAAATATGACCTGTTGGTGGAGCTCTCGGAGGGACACTTCTGTGTTCCATTCTTCCACCCGGTTCTCCCCAGCGGTCAGCCCGGCACATCTCTGACCACTTCGGCGCCTGGCTGCTGCGCGGGCTGACCGCTTGTGGAGCGGACTCGGAGAGAGACCTGACCGCAGAAATACTGCAGCTCGGTGAGTTGGTTGATAGTGCTTGATGTTAGTCTCCAGAAGCCTGTATGCCATCAGATAAACTCGCTCGTTTTTTTATTTTTTGCATATTTGTAAAATAGTGGTGGTGGGGAGCGACTAAATAACTAATCTGTCCGGGTGCCCTGTTCTCATGGGAACTAGTGCAGTTTAATAAAATGGAAATTAGTTAATAAAATTGATTATTAAAAGGTTCATATCCTATCCAATAAGACAATAGACTCAAATGTTTGGTTATATATATTTTTTAAAGTATTTATTTTGTATCACTCTTTATCCTAATTTTAGACCTTTTACTACAGGCCATGATAAGCTGTTAAGTATTTTAAACCCATATGCTTAAGTAGTTCTTTGTATGAAGTTTTCCTCTAGGTGATCCAGAGAGGCTTGACCTTTGGGTAAGCAACCAAAGAAGAGAGTGCTGGACTCCCAATTCACACTCCCGCTTGTGCAGTGAACACTTTGAGAGTCATCACTTCACCACGGACTGCAGGGTACAAACACATGACTTCATATTTTGGTTAAGATTGAAAAAATTGAAGCATTAGCTGTATAATATACAGATGTTACATTGCTGTGTAACAAAAAATAATTTCCACACACACAGTGCTCTGGTGTACCAGTGGGTTTTTGAGATATAGAAATTGACCTTGTCTGATGTGTGTATATGTGAATCTCTTTATTTTATTTTATTTTTTTTTTTATTTTAGGGGAGATTTTTCCTGAAGGACACAGTACCTACAATCTTCTCTTCCTTTAAGGTCAAAAACCTCTTCCAAGAAGGAAAGTACAGGTAACTAGGAATGACAAGGTAAGTGACAACCCCATTGGTTTTGTAAATAGTTTTGAGAAGGTTGCAGATGTAGAAGCAGGGGACGACAGTGCCATAAAAGTTGCTGTTGATCTGAACAATATAATGATGTGTGAAGCCTCACCTCAAGAGGTCTTTGTTACTCAAAATGTAACACATGATGGCATTCCTCTGCAAGCAGTTGAGTGTGATACTGCTCATTTTGGTCACAGTGTTCAACACCAGAATGACTCAGACTCTGGTCGGTTTAACACTGTGCCATTACAGCCAATTAGCATCCTGAGTGGCCATTGCTATCAAATCACAGAGTCTCCCAAAACGCTTTAAAGGAGAGTTCTGTCAGCAAATGAAAAAGTACGTGTAGTTCAGAAAACGCTTAGATTGCAATCCCAGAAGACAAGGAGACTGAAGGCAAGAATTTCTTCTTTGAAAAGTGTCACCAAAATTCTTCAGAAGAAACTTCTAATATCAACTGAATGTGCCTCTCTTCTTGATGGTTTGGATGGTGTTCCAAAGAGTTGTTTCAGAAAATAAATCCGAAGAAAGATCATCTTTGTCTGAAAACTTGAAGCAATTTGCAACTACGCTGCATTGTTACTCTCCTAAGGCTTATGACTATGCTAGAGAACACTTTCACTTGGCTTTGCCTCATCCGCAGACCATTCGCAACTGGTACAGCAGTATCTCTGCAGATCCTGGTTTTACTCTTTCTTCATTTACAGCTTTAAAAAGTCATGTTGTTGAGAAGAAGAAGGAAGGAAAATAATCTGTTTGCTCTTTGAACTTTCTTGAAGTTCTGACAGAAAACAACACCAGAAGCTTTTTACTAGTGCTGCCAGCAGAGAACAGCATGGATGTTGATGCAGACGGGCAGTAACTTCATCCATATGAGCTAACTGAAACACAACAGAGAGAGGATGAAGGTCATGAGGAGCGGAAAGGCAGGATGAAAGAGAAGTTGGTTGGAGGGAACCTGAGAGGTCAGACACCGTCCATCCTGATGGTGAGGAGGAAGACGAGGATGTAAGAGGGAGAGTGAGGAGCAGAAAGAGGGTTACCCAGAGGATCGTTTGTCATGTGCACCAGTACACTATCATCAGGTTTGTGGTGTTGAGTGTGTGACTGCAGCTCATAGTGTTGAGCAGCTGGTCCAGTAATCAGAAGGTTGCAGGTTCAATCCTGGCTCCAGACAGAGACTGCTGCTGTTGTGTCCTGGGGCAAGACATTAAACCACCTCGCCTGGTGGCGGTGGTCAGAGGGGCCGATGGCGCCTGTCAGTGCGCCCCAGGGCAGCTGTGGCTACATCGTAGCTCATCACCATCAGTGTGTGAATGGATGAATGATACACTGTAGTGTAAAGCGCTTTGGAGTCCTTACTCTGTATCATTTATTCATCTCTTAAATGCATGTGAAGCATGCTGACTGTGGACCTGAATTTGAATACTTATAAATAATAAATAAAAATACAAGATGAAATAAGCAGTTACTGTTCTGACTTCTATCCTCACTTTAACATTTATCTCCTTTTAGACATCAGCAGGTGCCAGGATGACCCACCTGCTCAGCCTGATTTCAGGACAGTAATGGGGACAGAAGACAGCTTCCAGCCAAGTCGCTATGAAAGTCTGCTTGGGCTGAATACTCTGTTACTTTGGACTCTGCCTAGTTTCTCAGATGTTTTTACCAACAGGAAGTGTGTTTGACTCACCTTCTGGCTTTAGGAACGGGACATAAGCTGTCTGATTACCAGGAGATAAAACTCCAGATCAAAGTGGAGTGCATCAAATTAAGCAATGTTAACATAAAGGTGAGACATGTCAGCAAATCTGTTCAGAACATTCTGACAGACAAACCACCTTTCTTCTGTCATGTTGCTGTACAGGACACTTTTAGAGTTTTTTTCTTTTTAAAGATAAATGGTATTACATTTAAAGAGCCATACTTTCACATGATCATTTTCACACTCTTTCTGTATACCTGTATTTTGTTGTTTTTCAATAAAGAATGACAAATTATTTATGTTTATGGGGTTTTTTGCACACAAATATATATCTGTATAAAATATCTACAAATATCTACAAAGCTAATCTTTACATAACAAGTATGATTTGGTTTTGCAATATGACAGCCTCTAAGGTTTAATTTAGTAAGATTTTTAAACCAAGTAAAGTTAGTAAAGAACACATTTCTATTGGCTGCTAAGAAACTGTTGGACGTAAAATGGGCCTGTTGTAGAAACAACTTGGCATAAATGATTCATCCTTTTTTGTCTTAACCAAAGAAATTCCAGCAATTGAGCAAAAACATTTATTTATTTTTTTACATTGGATTTTATAAAATAACAGGACACAAAGTGTCGGTACAAAAGGGCCCAGAGAGCTGCAGAGTCAGTGGAACATTGGGTTGTGAAGGAAGAACAGAGCTGTCAACAGTGTTATGGCTACAGATAAATTACATCATCAACACATTAGCTAGAACAGTCAGGGACATGTTTATCCTGTTTGCCTGAAAATAAATCTGTCCTAAAGGCCAAATTCAAAAGCAGCGAGACTCCCACCTGGAAGTCTTTCACTGCTTTTGGAGCTGGCCATTAAGACAATCGGCAATATTAGTTAAAAAATATCATTTCCCCTATTAGTGAAATGAACTCTGTCTGACAAAAATATCCCTGGACTGTCATGTCTGATGTGAGGATGCACAACAATGGCACCATTTAAGCTAGAAATAAAAGAAGCCATTACATTGTTGACGAACCTCCTGGCCTTCTCAATTTGAGCAGGTTTTACACCTGCCCTCCATCTACGCCTTTGGGTGATGGACGACATGAAGATGGTCATATGAGGGTGTAGAAGGTGAAGCCAGTGCAGGTCCTCCATCATGTTGACCAGCTTCACACTGCTGACCACCCCCATGTCATTGCCGCCACAGTGGATGAGAAGGACATCAGGAGCCTTCCTCGCAGGGAGTGGAAAAAGAAGGGGAGAAGGTCTTTCCACCTCAGTCCGCCCCAACCGAACCGGGAGACACAGACGTCAGGGAGGCCAAGGTTGTCTCAGAGGGTCTCTGCAGCTCTCTGGGCACCACGCCTCAAGTAGCTGTCTCCAATGATCCAAATAGCTATGGAGAAACAATAACAGGTTTGGCCGAGCTGTTTAAAGTACAAAACCATACATGAAGTGGTCAAGACAGGTACTTGGTACTTACACTTGCTGCGTTGTGTAGCTGATGTTGGAGACACACAGGTTGCCATGGTGACCTTTTAACAGATCTAAGAAAAAAATGAAATAAAAGAATGAAACTTAAAAACTCCCAGACCTCATTTCATGATTGCTAATCAGCTATGGCTGATTTATTGTTTGGATCACAGTGAGTTACACTGATTCTAATATATTTTTATTTCTATTACACATACATACTTTTTAACTGTTATTTTCACATGACTGTTATCAGGCTGTCTTGTTCTGGTTCTCATGATAATAATTCTGTTTCTTCCAGTAAGTTATCTTGTGCTTACTTCATCTGTAGAATGTCTCTTTACTTTTGGTGAATTGTACTGAGTCCAGAATAAAGGCTACTTGGCTGTACAAGATACAAACAAGTATTACGTTTTGGAAATATATGAAATGTATTTAGCCTGCTAATTTATCTCAAATACTAATAGCTACTGTGTTTTCCGGACTATAAATCGGACTTTTTTCGTAGTCTGGCCGGTCCTGCTACTCCGGAGCGACTTATATAACAAAATATGTAGGCTACACCGCGCTGCTGCGGGCCGGGTCCGACCCAGGAATGAGTTCCCCTGTCCTGCTGAGAGGGTTTCAAACACCGCCTTCCTCTGCTGGAGACCGTGGCGCGCTGCTGCGCCCGCGTTGTTTATTCTGTTATTGTTACCAGTACTTGTCTTGCAATGTGAAACGCTTGGTCTCGGATGTTGTAAGAAAAATAATAAAATTTCCCCCAAAATGCGACATAGTCCAGTGCGACTTATGTATGTTTTTTCTTCTTCATTATACATTTTATGACTGGTGCGACTTATACTCCGGAGCGACGTATAGTCCGGAAAATACGGTACGTTAGAAATATTGAAAACTTGCTTAAAGCAAAAATATATTTTCATTAAGAAAATAACTTATAAACTTACCAGTTTTATACCTTTTTATTCACAGAAAGATAGTTTTCATGAAAAAGCGCCGCAAACCTCCACACAATCTCTGTGAGCTTCAGGTCGCTGGTGTTCCACAGAGTTGGCTCTGGTTGTAGCTAGGTAGCTACCTCCATTAGCTTAGCTCCCCCTCCGCGTTAGCTTTGGGTTAGCGTCAGGTTAGCTTGTAGCTAGTTCGACTGGGTGTCGTCATTTGATCCCAGCCTTACAGCCCCACCCTCACCCTCTTCCCTTTTGTGGAATTGTCTGGGCTTGATGGAACCTGTGACACAGTCAAAATGGCGGTGGTGGCCACCTCCCATTTTTCCTCAAAAACGTGTTATTGGAGTCTATGGAAACCCATCGTCCATATATATACATATATATATATATATATATATATATATATATATATATATATATATTTATTTGTCGATGGTTTATCCATGTTTGTATGGGTTTGTAAATACTGTTATTGTTTATTGATTGATTACTTTATTGACTTTATACTATATTGACTAATTATTATTCCAAAAAGTATTTTCCTCTGTAAAAATGCTGCATGCTTGGGGATGCCATCAAGCTGAAGAAAGAGTCCTGTTGAGCCTTTTTGGCCTCTAGGACTCCAGAGGCAGCGGCTCGGGTGCTTGCAGAGGGAAAGGCGCAGATGTGGAAGGAATTTGCCGAGACCTTAGAGCAAGACTCCTGTTTGGCTTTGAGAAAGTTTTTGTCCACCATCCGGCGCATCTGGAGGGGAAAGCAGTGTTTAACCAACACTGTTTACAGTTGGGATCATGTGCTGCTGACCTCAACTCGGGACGTCATTGATCGGGGGGCAGAGTACTTTGAGGACTTAATCCCACCCGCATGTCTTCCAGCGACAAAGCAGAGTCCGGGGTCTTTGGGCTGGGTGCTTCAATCTCTGCTGCTGAGGTCACTTACGTGGTCAAAAAGCTTCTCGGTGGCAAGGCTCTGTGGTTGGATAAGATCCTCCCGAATGAATGATGCACTGTTGTGTAGAGCGCTTTGGAGTCCTGTGACTCTGAAAGGCGCTATAAAAGTGTTGGTCATTTATCACCTATCATTTTGTCTCTTCTGTTCTCAGAACTGTTTGTCAGTGGCAGACATTAAAACCGCCTTTAGTGACTGTGCACCTAAGATCGGCAAGAGAGACTGTTTAGTCCAGCCTTGCACCGCTCTCACAGGGTAAGACTTCATTCTTGTCACACCTCTTTCACGCCGAGTGCAGAACAGTTGCAATTCCCACACAGCTCCTGCAAAGACTAGAAATCAGATAGTTCATTGTAGTCCTTTTCAATCACTTACAGGTTCCAAGTTGTCGTCTCTTACTACCTGCTTTAATGTGATTTTAAGAATACCAAGCTGAGCTGCAAATGCAACTCAGTACTGCCAGTCACTGGTTAGCTGGAGGGTGGGGACATTCATTGGCTTGGGTGCTACACGTGCTCCTATTATAACAGAAACCATTAATACCTGGCCCGAAGGTGCCTCTGAAGAGCTGCAGGACTGCTTTGAGTGAACAGACTGGGATGTTTTTATCTACCACGATTTAGAGCGGTTTACGACAAATGTCCTGGGTTACACCAACTTTTGCATGGACACTGCGGATAAACACATTCATATTTATCAGAATACGAAGCAGTGGATGACCAAAAAAGTGCAGTGCTTGCTCAGAGCAAGGAACATCATCATCAGGTCTGGTGATGCGGCGTTGTACAGCGTTGCCAGGGCCAACCCGAAGAGAGGCATCAGATAGGCCAAAGCTGTTTATAAGAGGAGGATTGAGGACAGCAGGTGTGGCAGGGGGTTCAGCATATTACAAACTATAGATCCAGTACCTCAGCTGAAGCCAGTGACACCACACTGGCAGAGGAGCTGAACCATTTTTTTGCCCGATTGGAGGCAGTGTCACAGGACATGGTGGCATCACACCTGTTAGCCCACAGCACTCACATCGTCACAGTGGAGGAGCATGAAGTGAGACGCACACTGAGGGCTGTGGAACCGAGGACAGCAGCAAGACCCGATGGCATCCCAGGAAGGGTGCTGCGGGCCTGCACAGACCTGGCCGGTGTCTATCCCCACTCTGGAAGATCAGCACAGCGCCCGCTGTCTCAGGAGGGCTAACGACATTATGAGGGACTCGTCTCATCTGGGTCATCCACACTTTGACCTGTTGCCCTCTGGGAGACATTTTAGGTCATTAAAAGCACGAACAGACTGAAAAACAGTTTCCATGCAAAAGCAATAAGCACATTAAATACAGTATAGATATGACTTTCATCATTATTCTTCTAAACTGTGTAATATCATGTGTCGTGCAATAATGCATGAATGGAATGAGGGTGTGAGTGCATTTGTGGTATGTGCTTTATTTATGTATTACTTTTTTTATTTCTGTATGCACCATAGGAGATGGCACCACTCTTTAATTTAGTTGTACTTGTACAATGACAATAAAGGCATTCTATTCCAGGCCTACTGTAATTAAAAAACTTTAGTTTAAAATTTTTAATTATCTATAAATAATGTCTTGACAAATTACATTTCATTAAAACAGTTTTCATAAAAGCAGCGTCCCGTCAGGAGGCTCTTGGCCAAGTGGGCGGATATTAACGAGAAAACTGATGTAATGTTTGTGTCGATGCAGGGACGGAGTAAACGAAGGCATTGAGTGGATGGTGAAGTGTGTGGTGAGGAACCTTCACCGGCCTCCCAGACAGAAGGACATCACCTAAGACAAACCATCAGAGGACTTCCTCCCCTCTTCTCATCACTTTATGTGTCCCTTTACAACATTTAAGGAGGCCTTTGGAGCTGTTGATGTCATGCTGACACAAACAAATTAAGATTCCTCACCCAATTCTGTTTTGGGACAAGTAGCAGCACAGCCTAACGTTTTCATTGTGTTTGAGCATCTGGTGTGCATTATTGAGACTGATAGGCACCACACACACACACACACACCCTTCAGAATGCCTGTTTAAAGGATACCCTTCATTGGAATTAGTTGGGTTAGTAGACCCACTTCTCCACATGTATGTAAAATTCATCCTAAATAATACCAAAAGATTTAATGTGATTTCAGACATACATTCACTTTGTGCTCCGCTTCACTCATCAGTCTGGTGGTTGAAGCTGAAGCAAGGCAGTCCTGTCTGTGTTTGGGTTGATTCTTGGATATTCAGTGTCCTGCCCAGTGGGGTGCCGTAGAAACAGGTGCAGCAGGAATGAATGGAGGACACGGTGTTCAAAGTATGTTGGGTTTATTGTTTTTAACAAGTATAATTTGCTGAGTCACAACTGATGGCTGGGTAACTGGTATTTACTTTAATTTAGATGATTATTGGAATAAAATCATCTCAAAGAGTCAAAGCTGTTGTTTTTGACTCATAATATCATTTTGTGCAGATTGACAGCAATTAGGATTATTTGCCTGAAATGCAGCACTTGAGCTGAAAGGAAGTTTTCTGAGGTTCCTTTGAGCACACCTGTAAAGACTGAGATGAGACCACATACAACTGATTATGAAATGAAAATAATTTCATTAAACGCAGAACCACATCTCACTTCCTGCCTGGCTCAGGTGACTTTAACTTCAGCAATCCTCATGCAGGGTCCAGACTCCAGGCGGAAACTTTCCGGAGCTCTGCATCCGGGTCCGCACCACATCACAGCCAGAGCCGGATTAAATAAATGGATTACACTAGGCAGTCTGCATCCCGCATCCCCCACACCCCCCCCCACACCCCCCCTCATGTTATTTAATGAATTGAAATCTGAAACTTACCAAAGTTACTAATAAAAGTTCATTCACATTTTACATAGCCTAGTCTTTGGTTACAAATTGGTTGTTTGTATGGCAAAATAAGTCATGTGTTGTATGTAAAACATTCTATCAGACAATTTTTTGATATTAATAATTTATACGTCATTACACAGCTGTATTAAATGCTTATAAATTATCCTCATCCATTGGGAGTGTCATTGTCAAGGCAGTAGTACCAGTAAATAACCACTAGGTGTCATTAAACTATGTAAAATTAGCAAATTTGTTTACCTTATTTGCTCTGTTTACATTTAATTAAAAAGATTTTCTGCTGAATGCAATAGCTTACAACATTTATAAATGTTGACAAATCAAGCACATGATGGTGGAAAGACATTCAAGAATAAATAGATTATTTTGAATGGACTGAACAAAAACAAACTGTTGAACAAAGATTTCAATTCCTCCAGACCTGTGTATTAAACAAAAGCAGTTCTGGATTACCTCTCAATCTGTGTGTTAATAAAACCAGGCTGAGAGGTCAGAGAAAGGTTTGTGTGTGTGTGTGTGGGTGTGATTTGACTCCTGATCTCCTAATGTCGTAAATAATGGATAATGTGCTTCACTACTCCGCTGTTTTTGATAAATATATGTTGTAGCTTTAGCCTTTTACTGACCTCTGTGGGGTTAGCCCAGCATGCAATAAGGATTCAGGGTAGACGCTGCGTCTGGGAAATGTTTATGGTTGGCTTAAGCAGACCGCTGGAGAAGACAAGGAAGCCTCGCCTCGCCCTGTCGATTGATGACCACAAGCCTGAAGAACACCAAGCAAGGGACGCTGGGAGGAGTCACAAGGCCGAGCAGAGTGCTTCCTGAAGCGGGAGTTGTCATGGAGACGAAGAGGAGACAAGAAGGAGGGGGAAGTGAAGTAATAAAAAGGGGGGCCCAGGAGAGTTCTAGGCTCGGAGTTCTGGGGAAGTTCTGTACGAGTTTGGTGGAGCTCGGTGGTTTTTGTCTTACCCGCTGCGTCGGGGTGATTCTGTTTGGATTGATCTTTTTTCATCCTATTAAATAAAAACCTTGGTTTCTTATTGTAAGAAACTAAAAAGGATTCCGTGCCTGGGGTCTCCGTTGGTGTCGTGTAACCGAAAAGGTGAGATGCTGGTTACTTGTTATCCCACTCCAAGAGGTTTAGGCCAGTCATTTTAGAGTCTTTAACCTGAGTAATACATAAGCTGCAGGTGACTAAAAGATGTGTTTGGGTTTGAAACGAGTCTTCCTTTGAGCTGCAAGCAGTGTGTTTGCCAGGATCACAGTCTAGGTTAATGGTGATCGCTGATCAGCTCCTATAGTGTGCAGGCAGTTTTAGAGACTGGCTGAATATCACGCCCACGCATAAATAGAAATACAAGTCAACCCTGAGACGTAACATCTGTTAAAGAGTCAGCTAGATTGGGAAGATGGCTTGTAACACAAACTATAAACACGCAGCTTAAATTATTACAGTATAAATTTAATACAATCTATAATCTTAAAAGAAAGTATTTTAATAAAATGAAAACGTTATCTTAAGTTTTGATCTAGCTTTATGCTCATTCAGGCTGTTGTTGCCTCTGCTGAATCAGAAATTCTGTATGAATTTTCTGAGTGTGAACTTATTGTTTGTTATACTATTTGAACATTAATGAAATTATTTGAAAAATAATTAATAAAACCAGCAACACTTACCAAGGAAACCATTTAGCATTCTCCACTCCGGGATAATCTTCAGCCTTCCAGCATCACAGGCCTCAGTCACAGCAGAAACACGTCTAAAGAAACGTTCCTTGGTTAAGCTTCGGTTTACGTCTCTATATTTCCTCTGTGATGCAGAGAAATATCCAGTATTTTGAGAGGGATGGTTTAGTGCAAAGTACTCACGCATCCCGTCATCAGTTTGGTACCACTGCAGGATCAGATGGGTAGCTAGTTGTTAACACCCTTTCTGGGTCTAGAGGCTCCTGCTGTAAGACTATATTGGGCTCACTTCTGGCTGGCTGCTGTTCTTCCAGTTCATCCTTCTGTGACGGCGTTGATGTTGACGGCGTCGGCGCTACAGCGTCTTCCGCTGCATCTTCCACCGCGTCTTCGGGTTGTGTCTCCTCCGGGTCTTGCTCAGGCCCGGCCCCTGGCTCTGCTGACTCAAGCAGGTTCACAGCTGTCGGACGGGTGCTCGACAGAATTTCTGTAAAGCCCCCCGCTGTCTCTTCTTTTGTTCCTCTTCATTTATTTTTCTTTTTACGTTTTGCCGCACCTGAAAGCATCGTGAAAGTTAGCCTACTCAAAAACACCTGCTAGCTTTGTTGTGTCCCGCACTGACTCTGACCGCTTCTCTGACGTCCTTAATTGGGTGGCGTCCAAGTTGTAGGCTACAGTCATGGGCTGGCGTTAATGTGACGTAGCTAATGTAACAGTCTATGGTTGCGATAAATATTGTCACTATTTTTAGTTAATTAATTAATTATTGAAAATAATTGTAGATAGCAGTCCTATCCACAAAGACAATTGTACATTTTATTTTAATTGATTTATTTTTAATTTTGTCTCTCTGTCTTGGCTTTATCCAGCCAATCAGGCTCTAGGCACGTGCCTACTTTGCCTTTGCGTTTATCCCGCTCTGATCACAGTTGGTGTAAATGCTCTGATTGGACTCCGTGATTTCTCATCTATGCAAAACTAGACCGCATTTGTTCTGCATTCGGTGTGAATGAGGCTTCACAACCTCTCAGTAGCAGACGTATAGCAGCTGCTCTGGTTTTCCATGTAGTGTTTCTTAACCCTAGCCCTCAGTGCCCCACTCTCCTACAGGTTTTAGGTGTTTCCATGTTTCCACACATGATCTAAACAAATAAGTGATTAACAGGTTTTTGTAGCACATGACCTCCTCCATGAGAAGGCAAGGCAAATATAATATAAATCAGGTGGGCTGAAGCAGAGATATAGAAAACATGTAGGAATGGGTCATATGGCCTCAAATCTATAATCACATATTATTTTCTTCTGTATATTTGTGTCAAAAAGAACTTCTGAACGGTCTCGCATACCAGATGAATTGCAGCAGAACAAATACTTCTAAATATTATTGAATGCAATTTACAGAACATTTAATAATCAAAACCTATTTAAAAGAGCACAAACCTTCAGGTAGTTATGACTGATTCTTTAAACCACACATGTCAGACACAAGGCCTGCAAGAGCTTCAAGTGTCTTATAATAGGTCTATGCCGCTTCAAAGCACACATTGACTATAAACTACATTTCCCATAATGCATGGCGATCGTGTTCCCAGTGCAGTTGCAGTATTTCGCTGCTAGATCCAAATTTGTGTTTACTTAATTCAACAAGTGAAAATAACTATCCACAAATGATCCCCAAATGTCCAGGAAGAGAAAGATCGATGCAGAAGGAAGGCGTTTCAACAAAGATGTAACATCACCGCGTTGGACGAACTGAAAACACTCCTCTTACTCAGCGCCGAGTTTAATCTGTAATTTGCTGACTTTGAAGCCCAGAAATGGATTTGAACCGCTCAGTAATCTGCTGCTGACAGAAAGCACACCGACCTTCCAGACCGAGATGATTTAAGTCAGTATGACTCTATGGCTGCTGCAGTGTTTATCTTTCCTCACGGACACAACTGCATGGTCCCGCTGCTCAGATTCTCTATGTTCAGCAGCACAAACTTATGTGAGCAACTGCTGTCTGTGATGGAGATGAACTAGACAACAGGAGTCTCACTGATGAACTCCTTCCTCAGCTCAGAGCCAACCCCAGAGATGCAGGAGTTTCAGGCTGGAACAGGCGAGCATCACAGTAAATTAGACCGGAGCAAACTGAGCTTGCATTATTTTGATTTGATGCACTTTTCTGCTCCAAAGCATGAAAGGTAATAGGTGAGATTGCATTTTCATTTAAGATAATTACTATTATTTATTTTTGTTGTTGGCCTGTGAAAAAAGATGTCACCTACTTTAAAACAGGAACTGGAAACAGATAGAAGAAGAGAATAGAAATAATAGAAAATCCCTTTATTGTCCCTCAGTGGGGAAAGCTTGGTGTCCCAGCAGCAGTAACATTCATTACAGGAGAGTAAAAATAATGTAATAAAAGTAGCCGGGGTCTGAGCTTTCAACGCCGTCCAACGCCCCGGGGTGTATATTGCGAGGACGGCGGGTAAATTCACAACATAAGTCCACTGCCAGAGTCCGTAGCGGCAGATGTCGGCGCGGCCTTGGCATCACCTATGCCCAGCCCTAACTGTCTAAAGAAGGCGACCAGCCTTCCCGCCTGGCGCTGGAACACTAAACACCTGTTCAGCTATCTTCGTCGCCGGCAGCCCTACCCGGCTGCGAACGACCCCACCCCCCAAAGTCCGATGCCACAATGACAGGTCGACCACGCACACCTCTCAGTAGGTCTGTCACCCTTTTATCCTCCCTGGCCTCGTTATCCATAACGAGGACCAGCTGGTGTCCAATCACCACACCCTCGGAGCTCGGCAGCTTCCGTCTTCTGTCCATCACACTCTCCCCCTCTTTGTCCTGAAGGACTCGCCCTCGA